CACTGTCGCTACAAGCATGCTTAGTGTGAGGGATTGTATTTGAGTCAATGAATAAATGCAATCAACTGGTTTTCCTTAGATAGAAAACTTTGTATCAATTTGACTGTATGATCTGGTTGAACTGTAAAGTGCCTTGAGATGACATGTGTTGTGAATTTGGAGCTATAGAAATAAACTGAATTGAATTGAATAGAAAGACCATTTGAACCCTAAGGATTTGTAGATCATCCAGAGAAGGTCTGAAGCCCAAATTTAGACGGCTTTAACAACGGCATCACATTTTAAGTTATTTTTGTTCATTTTGATTATTCTGGCTTACAGCTGAATTAATTTCTAATTCAGTTATGCAGAATATAAAATGGGGCCAGAAAAGAAAAGGTAACAGTGAGGACCGACAGTCAGCAGATGGACGTTAACAATGAGATTCATCCACCAAATGGAACGCTAAAGCAGCTTAATGCAAAGTAAGCTGTAAGGAAAGGGTTTCACAAGCAAAAGGGACGACTGAAGCCTTGAGGAAGAAAAAAAACACAAACAAAAAACACCCGTAACCTCAATAAACCATGCCTTGTTTTGCAAAACCCAAAAATCAACAGTACTAGTGTGAACCCTTCTCTGCATGGACCGTTACTGGACTTAATCAAACACGTTAATTCAAATCCTCCATCATCCGACACAAAGCAACTTTCCTTACATTAGAGAAAACTCCTGGTTGACATAGAACAATGTTCCTTCTGCAAAGTCTTTGGGGGAGGACACCACCGGGTCATACGACAGAACCTGACGTTTGAGCTTTGGAAACGCCACCAGAGACTGGAAGAAGAGGAGGACAGGTTAATGAAATTAGCACAAAGTTAGTAAAACCGAATTGGTCTAAAACTCAGAGCAGCTCTTTACCCAGAGGGTTCGCCGTAGCTCAGCGTCAGGCAGCTCCGTGGCTAGCTTTAAGTTTTCAAAGCTGATCCTCTCTCTCGGCCGCTGGTTCCAGGCGAATAGCACAGCCAGCTGGAAAGTGGTCACCTCCAGGTCGTACTGCCCCACCTCATTCTTAAATGTTATCTATAAAGAGGAAAGGCAAAGCTTATCAACCATAAACCACTGCTAGATGGAAGGTGCCTAATCTTAAAATGTTGTTTTGATTTCCCACATAAAGTAGACCTGACCCAGTTCGTCTGTATTTAGCATTGTGTCTTTCCTTTGCCTGTATCATAGAAAGTATACCTCACCCAGTGCTTCTGGTGTGTCCATTTAAAGAAACTCTGACTCTCTGCTTCTAGGGGTGGAACGGTTCACAAAATCCACGGTTCGGTTCGGTTCACGGTTTCGTGGTCACGGTTTTCAGGTTCGGTATATGTTGATTGTTAACCCAAAATACCATAAAAATTTATGAAATTAATGAAAATACCAAAAAAAATTTATGAATTGTAATTATTTTCAATGATCCGCCGAAACCCTGGATCATTTTCGCATGTTTTGCTGCTTTGAATTTAATCATCTCGTGCATGCCCTCTACGATCTCAAAGGAACTCAGAGCGGACGGGAGCCACAGCGGAGGCGTAGCGCTGACGGAGTATGTGGGATTTCGGGGTTAGCCTGACATGTTGGTCGTGTTGCTGTTAGCATAAA